GGTGGTGGTGATGGTGGTGGTGCGCGGCAGCGTGGTGATGATGGTGGTGATGGGGGTGGTGGTGGTGATGGGGGTGAAGGTGCCCTCCCGGCCCGGCGCCTGGCGCGCCCTTGGTGCTTCCCGCGTGCAGGTGAGTATGGTCGGCGCGCAGCACCTTGAAGCGCTTGCGACGCCGCAGGAAGCTGCCGTTCTCGAACATGTCACCGCAGTCGGGGTGCAGCGCCCAGAAACTACCCTTGCCAGGCTGGTCGGGGCGCCGCGGAATCTTGATGAAGCAGTCGTTGAAGGAGAGGTTGTGGCGCAGGCTGTTCTGCCAGCGCTGTGTGTGCTCGCGGTAGTAGGGGAAGCGCTCCATGATAAACTTGTAGATGTCGCTCAGAGGCAGCATCTTCTCTGCCGAGTGCTGGATTGCCATGGCGGTCAGCGAGATGTAAGAGTAGGGCGGCTTTTGGTCGCTGTACGAGTTCTTCCCCGGCCGCGGCATCGCCCCCGGCTCCTCCACCGCCCTCCGGCCCGCACTGGGCCACAGAGTCTCTCCGCACTCCGCTCCTGGGGCCTGGCTGACCCCACTAATTCCCACTCCGCCCCTCCAGTCCTGCCACTTTGCCCTCTCGCCCTCCAGGCCCTCTCTGCTTCTCTCCCCGGCTTTCTCCGAATTGCCTGGTATCTCCGACCTTGGCCTTTCGGGCCTACTCAGCTCTCAGAAGCTGGCAACTTCTGGCCCCGACGGTTGTCGACTGGCGCGCACAGTCGCGGGCGGGGCGCGCCAGGTTTACCGCCGCCTTCTCTGCGTCTTCCCCCGGGTGGCCAAAGACTGAGTGCTGGAGCTGGCTGCAGAGGAGAGTGGCGAGGGGCCGTGTTTCCTCCCGGCCTCTTTGCTTTTTCTAGGTCGGAGGGAAACGCAGACCAATCCGGCTGGGAGGAAGGTCTGGGCAGTAGAGACTCTGGCCCTTTAAATCTGAGTTTGCGCCTGCTGTCCTGGAGGCCAGTGACAGCAGGACTTCCAGTGCCCTGGACGCAGTCCCCTGGCCAGGCACTTAGCCAGACCGCGCTGGAGTTCTCCTTTTCCTGGAGGGAAAAATCAGGGTAAGGAGAGAGAATATTGACTTCTAGCAGCCTGCGCGTCTCTTCCCCGAAGCTCGCAGCGGCGCCGGGGTTAGAAGAGACGCCGATCCCTAGGCTGTCGCCGAGGGGAAAAAAAGTTTGGTGGTTTCTGAAGCGGCGGCGCCCGCAGGCTCTGCTGAGGAGCGGGGGACGCAGGATGCTGGGCGCGAGCGGCGGGCTGGAGAAGGTGTCTGCGAATGACGGGTAAGTGCTAGCAGGGGAAACCCAGCCGTCTGCGCCGCAGCTGCCGCCTTTCTCCCGGGCTTGTCTTGAGGAGGAGAGGCGGCGGCAGTGGCAGCGACGCGCTCTCCTGGCTGCGTTTTGTAATGGTCCCCGAGACGCCGAGACCCCCGCAGCTAGCGCTTCGAGACTATCACATGACCGAGGCTGAGGGACTCAGCCGCCGCCGCCGCCGCGTCTACAGCTGAAGAAGGGGCAAAAAGGCGCCGTGCCTGGCCCCCGCCCCCTTTTCCACCTCGTTTCGGGCGCTCTCCACCCATCGGGTTCACCACTCGCTCGGCAGCCCCCAGCCACGGCCGGGTGCGGCGGGTGGCGCAGGCTGTTCG